CTTGGCCATGACCTGTCGCTGAAGAGACATCTTGTCCGTGTCACCTGTTGCTTCGGGCGACGCTGGCTTGCTCACTGCTACTTCCTGACGGGGCTGAGGGAGGCGCTCCTTCTAAGGGGAACCACACACACTGGAGGATGGTGCACGTGTGGGAGAAGAAGATGGTGACTGCCACTTTTATACTCTGCCGCTAGTTTCGCAGTGATGACTATGGAATTGACGGGCGAAGGCCGGTGGGGGGGGGGGGGAGGAGGAGGAGGGGGAGGAGGAGATGGAGGGGCTGGTTTGCGTCCGAGGAGGAGGAGGGGGAAGAGGGAAAGAGAGAGGGGGGGTAGGCTGAGGAAGGGAGTGGGAATGTGTGAGGGAGGAGGATAGAGAGGAAGGGGAGGCGGTGGCTGGAGAAGGGAGTGGGAGGTATACGAAAGGGGTAGGAGGGAAGGGGAGGAGGGCCGACGAGGGGAGAGAGAAGGGAGGTTGCCCAGGGGGTTGGGGGGGAACGGAAGGTAAGGTGGGCGATGAGGCGTAAGGTTTGTAGGTTACACCGCCCACCCGCGATCCCTGGTGAGCTGGTGCGCCCAAAATACTATCCACCCTTCCGACGGACGGTTCTCGAACATTCGGTAACAGCTCTTGTTCGAGCACAGGCGAGGGAGGCGATATTCATCCAGAGGCCGGCGAAGGCACGCATCAGCGCCGTTTCGAGCAACTTCCTGTTTCAGATGATGATAATTCTACACTTATCGTTGACGTATTGCAACTAATAATGCGTCTTGCGCGCTTTGCCCGAAAGGAAAAGGACAAATCTATAATAATATCATGAAATATAAGGTAAAGATTATAGGAGGAAGTAAAAGTTAACTAATGAAAAGATTAAGGGAAAAAAATGACGTAGAAAGAAGTGGAAGAAGATAAAGGCAGAATTGAAGTTGATGTTTAATATAGATAAAAGGAAAGGAAAAAAAAGGAGAGAAATTAAGAACAAGAAGTAGTAGAAGGACAATATAACAATAAGGAAGAAAAGGACACGAAGAAAGAAAGAAAAGGAGAAAAGTAGACTACAGAGAAATCTAAAAAGGAGAAGGAAAAGAAGGGGAAATCAAGAAGAGAAGATAGAGAACAAACAGCAAAAGTAAAATGAGAAGGAAAGGAGAAGAAGAAGAGATGGAAGAAGACAGAGAAAAGCAACGGAAAAAAATACAAAAACAAAGAGAAGAAAAATAAGTAGGAGGTGATGAAGAAGAGTAAGAAAAGAAGGCGAGGAAGGACAAGAAGGCAGAAACTGAGAAGAGAAGGAAAAGAATTACAGCATCAGTCGACGCTGCTGTCGCCCGCCGTCGCTCCCGATGCCTTAGCTGCGCCTCAACACTCACGGGCGAAGCATTCGGATATTAGGACGTAAGAATAAACAAAACAAAGTTATTTCCACCTTCTTCTCCCTTCGACCCCCATACACACATACACACGAGGGTGGTTTTGTACGTAAACACACCCTCACTCCTTCCTTCTCCTTCCCTCATTCTGCCTCCGTTGCTACTCCTCTCCCCCTCTCTTCTTACCCTCTCCCCTTCTTCCTTTCTTTATTCCACTACTTTGTCTCTCGTTCATAGTTTTTTCTACCCCTTCCCTCTCCCTTCCTCCCTTTATTTATCCCCCCTACTTCTCCGTGCTTCTCTCTTACTCTCTCCCTCCCATTTGTTTCTCCTTCCTTCCAAGTATTCTTCCATTTTTCTTCTCCCTTCCCCCTTCAGTTCCTTTCTCTTCCTTCTCCATTCCTCCGCCTCCCTCCATCCTCCTTTCCCTCTCCCGTTCCTCTACTTTGCCTCTTTCCCATCCCTCTCTTCGTTCTTATTATTTCTTCTCCTTACCTTTCACTTTTCCTTACCTTCTTACCTCCATTTCCTTTCCTCTCGCTTCCTTTCCTCTCGCTCACTCTTTTCCCACCCTCCCCTACCCCATGCTTCCCTTCCATTGCCTCCCTTTTCCGCTCCTTCCCCCATTTCTCAGCCCCCAAAATATATTGCTAAACAAAGTTGTTTCTCTTTCTCTTTCGATATCTTTCCTTCTCTTTCGATATTTTCAACTCCCGCGGGGGATTTCAACCCCGGGGCATTATGGGAAGGGGGGGGGATGGGGGGTAGGGGAAGTGCGTGTCTGAGGGGGAAGAGGATTTCTTCCTCCCGGCCAAACACTCCCGAAGTAAATGTCAAAGTAAATTGGTCAAGAGGATAACAATCACAATGACAGAAAACATTTTATCTCCTTTTTTATCTGTCCTTTTCTTTCTCTAACCGAAAGGTAAAGGAAACAAGGTCGAGGTCCAGAGTAAACAGCCTACGGCTTCAAGCTCTTCTGAGGACCTCTGGCGTGGAGGAGGAGGAGGAGGAGGGGGAGGGGGAAGGGCAAGGGAGGAGGAGGAGGAAGAGAGGGAGAGGAAAGGGAGGAGGAGGAGGAGGAGGAGGAGGAGGAGGAGGAGGAAGGGGGGGGAGGAGGTGGAAGAGGGGGAGAGGAAAGGGAAGAGGAGGAGGAGGAGGAGGAGGAGGAGGAGGAAGAGGGGGAAGGGGAAGGGCAAGGGAGGAGGAGGAGGAGGAGGAGGAGGAGGAGGAGGAGGAGGGGGAGGGGGAGGGGGAAGGGCAAGGGAGGAGGAGGAGGAAGAGAGGGAGAGGAAGGAGGAGGAGGAGGAGGAGGAGGAGGAGGAGGAGGAAGGGGGGGGGAAGGAGGTGGAAGAGGGGGAGAGGAAGGGAAGAGGAGGAGGAGGAGGAGGAGGAGGAGGAGGAGGAAGAGGGGGAAGGGGGAAGGGCAAGGGAGGAGGAGGAGGAGGAGGAGGAGGAGGGAGAGGAAAGGGAGGAGGAGGAGGAGGAGGAGGAGGAGGAGGAGGAGGAGGAGGAAGAGGAGGAGGAGGAGGAGGAGGAGGAGCGGGAGGGGGAAGGGCAAGGGAGGAGGAGGAGGAGGAGGAGGCGGAGGAGTAGGAGGAGGAGGAGGAGGAGGAGGAGGAGGGGGGGGGAGGAGGAGGAAGAGCGGGAGGGGGAAGGGAGGCGTGGAAGAGGAGGAGGAGGAAGAGGGGGGAGGAAAGGGAGGAGGAGGAGGAGGAGGAGGAGGAGGAAGAGGTGGGGGGGGGAAGGGAGGTGGAGGAGGAGGAGGAGGAAGAGGTGATGGAGGTGGAGGAGGGAGGAGGAGTAGTAGGATGAGGATGATGATGGTGATGATGATGATGAGGAGTTGGAGGAAGAGGAGGAGGAGGAAGAAGAGGAGAATGGGGAAGAGGAGGAGGAAAAGGAAGAGGAAGAGAAAGAAAAGGTCAAAAGAGGAAAAAAGAGGAAAAAAGGGGAAGTGGAGGAGAAGGAGGAAAAGGAGGAGGGGAGGAGAAGGAAGAAAAAGAGGCGAAGAAGAAGAAAAGGAGGAGAAAGAGGAAGAGGAGAAAATGGTGGAGAAAGAGGGCGAGCGATAAAAAAAAGGAAGAGGAAGAGGTGGAGGAGAAAGAGGAGGTGGAGGAGAATGATGCGAAACAGGAGGTAGAGGAGAATGCGGAACTGGAGGAGGAGGAGGAAGAGGAGGAAGAAGAAGAAAAGGAGGAGGATGAAAAGGAGGAGAATGAAAAGAAGGAGGAGGAAGAGGAGTAGGAGCAGGAGGAGGAGGAAGTGGAGGAGGAAGAGGAAAAGGAAGAAAGTACTGACATTGGTGCTTGTCTTTATGAGAAATATGACACTGCTAGTGTTAAGGGTGATAAAGAAAAGTACTATGATAGTAACTATTCTAAAATTTGCATGTTTTTAGAAGATAACCGCCTAACGAGGTAGTATTCTAGCGGAACTGGCTCGAACGTAAACAACGTGCTGAAAGTTTATCTTCCACTCAGCAAAAATATTAGACACCTTGATCTACTTATTCTAACCCTCTTTTGCATCTGAATACTTCATCTGTCAAAACTATCGGTCATTTGATTCTTCAAGATTTGAATTGGAAAGTTCCTTTGATGCATGTCCCAGTCCCACCGGACCACAAACACTTATTAATCATGTGTTACATGAGATATATATGCATATACATATCATATGTATATACATATGATATGTACACATCGCATATATATTAAATATATATATATATATATATATATATATATATATATATATATATATATATATATATAAATGTATACACACACACACACACACACACACACACACACACACACACACACACACACACACACACACACACACACATATATATATATATATATATATATATATATATATATATATATATATACATATATGTGAATATATATATATATATATATATATATATATATATATATATATATATATATATATATATATATATGTATATATATATATATATATATATATATATATATATATATATATATATATATATATATATATATATATATACACACACACACAAGCAGATATATAGATGGATGTACATGTATATGTTTGTTGTCTACATATATGTACAGTACATACACAAGCACATATGCATCCACGTCTGTGTGTACACATTTGTATAAAACTATATACATATGTGTACAAGAAACATTGCTCGACTAAAACACTACAGTAAGAACTGGTACTGAAACTGAACTGGCACTGACGTTCGTTTCTCAAATTCTTTTCACTGGGTCACAAAAGAAGGGCGTGGCAAGCGGACTAGATAATTATTTTGTTAAAACAGTGTAGGATAGGAATATCTGTGAAATGATATTGAAATGAGCTTGTTTCTTTTAAGGCGTATAAAAGATAATATTTCAGGACAAGATGTACAATACGAATATTTAGTTATTTTGTCAAAGATTAGATCGCATATATGAATAATCGTGTGTTACTAATATAGGAAAATATTAATGATATCATTCAGTCAGGATAATGCTGATAAGATATTAGATTTTATGAGAGTTGGAGAAAGGAATGCATAAGAATGAGACTAATTATTTATTTACTTATTCAATAAAAGATTTTATTATAATCAAATCAATAGCAAATTCGTTTGATGATGATGATGATTTTGATGATGATGATGATAATGATGGTAAAGGTGACAATAAAAGTAATAACAGTAAAAAGAGTATTGATGGTAATGATCATGATAATGATAACAATGGGAATAGTAGTAATGATAAATATAATAAT